CGTGTATACATATTAAGCGAGCTTGTATATACCCTGGAAAGTTGGGTGGCTCACTCCGTTTTGGGGGGGGGAGAGGGGGATCATGGGTGTCGATCGGGGAGTTCTTCTTCGGGGGATACGGTACATTCTCGCCATTTTGACAGCCCGATCGCTCATGGTGCTGCTGATGTTCCTTTTTTTTTTTTTTTTTTTTTCACGTGTTTGTTTTAATGATGGATATTAGCAGCCGCGATATGAGAGGCTAGATCGATCGGACGCGCGATCTCGGCTAAAAGGTTTTTTCCGAGCTGTCTGGTCTGTTGTGTACTGTATATAGGTGTATACAAGAGTTTGTACCTTTAAACATTTAGATTTCACTCGGTGTATCTCGCGATGAACGATACCGATTTTCAAAGCTGAGCGATATGAACAATCAACAAAATGATAGACAATAATTTTTTCTTTTTCCTCCATTTTTGCCTTACCTCCGAAACTATCGGTAACAATTACAAATATCGTTGTCGCGTAGCGAGAGAAAAACCCCACGTAATAGATACATATATACTATGAGCTGCGGGGCGCGCACCGCAAGCCTTACAAGAAAAGACCGAGCATGTGCTAACCACGAGCCGTAATGTATAGTAAAAGCACATCGGACAGGCTGGTGGTGCGCGTGGGACTCGCAGTTTGAATTAATCCCATAATTCGCCCAGCCGGAGCTTGTGTATTTGTGTATACGCGAAAATCGTCACGGAGGCGAGAATCGGTGTGACAACGATCGCCGATCGATGATGGGTAGTGTGAGTATTACAGAGAGGCACACTGATCTATCGGGTTACGTCAGCGTGGTCCCGTCGCCGATGGTGCCAATATTAAGATCCGAGGAGCGAGAATCGGTGTGCTCGGTGTCGATGATACGGGGGGGAGATCGGTTGCAGAGAGAGGGCTCCAAGAGGAGGAGAAGGCGGGCACCGGAGATCGGCTCGGGTTACCGGCTCAAAACGCCATGATTAACGCAAGGTAAACGAATCTAACGCGATGTCCGACCGCAGCTTGTTCTGTAGCAATTTAGAGCCTCGTGTATACATACATACATTTGGTCACTGTGCACTTGTTCTCTCTATATACATACATACATATACGTGTACGTGCGAATGTGCGTTGCAGCGAGAACGTCTCTCTTCCTCCTTCTTCGAGCTTGTGGTTTCTTGTTTCACGATCTAATCTCTGTGCGTCTCATTTTTCCTTGCGATGATACGTCCATGCGTACGGACACGTGCATTGGTTCTCGCGTCGATCGAAGAGCTGTTGATGTTGATCAAACAGCTTGATTCCAACAACTATCTATTTTGTTTCAATAACATTCATTGGTTTTTAAAGCATGTAGACTAAATTACTTAGATGAAGTATTTAAATGAGAATAATAAATCAAATTTGAACAAAATCGGTGTAGCGGAGTATGGGTGTAGTATCGATCTTTTTTTTTCTTCAACCAATCGAATCAATCAAACAGGCGTTGTTGATTTGTTTATTGATCTTTTTTTGTACACGAACAATCCAACGTGGTTTCATTGGGTGGTGAAACTGAAAAACAGAGATACCGATTTTCCCGGTCACACGTGGCATGCCAACTAATTGCAAAAAAAAGCCACGGGCGGATTGTAAAACCGATCCCTCCCCCCCCCTCCCAAAGGAAGAAGAGAAAGAAATCGCGTGTAATCCCCGGGCACTTTGGAGTCACTTTCTCGTGTCATCGAGCACCCATACCCCGGACAGCTCAACGGCTCAAGCTGTGCGACTCGCCGACATGTCCGTATCCGCGTACGAGCCCTCGGAGAGACGGACGTCAAGGCAACACACGATACATATGGGAACGCAAGCCCTCTGCGGTCGAGAAGCCCCGCGTGCGGTCGCCGGAGGAGGAAGCCCGGGGAACGATATCGCGCGGCTAAAAAGGACGATCGCAACTGCTGTGTGTACCTATATATATAAGTACTCTCCGCGCGGTGTAAGGGCTACGGGAAAAGTTTTATGTGTATACCTATACGTGTTGCCTGCAGAAAAGCGCTTCTCACGAAATTTTACAAGTACACGATATATATTTTTATAAAACGATCGTACATCGAGCGGTCCCATCATCACCATGTCTTGGCTGAGCTGCTATACTCATATATACATTTAGATGGAACGTGCGCCTTTTGCTTGCAGCTTCCATTTTCAAGGAGCAGGGATCTCCGGCAGAGGAGGCCGTGCCGACGCCGATTCGCGAATCGGGGAAAAAAAATCTCGGCAGAGTTACTACAACGTGGTGGAAACGGAAGACTCTGGAGCGCGAGAAATCCCACGCATGCCGCGCGCGCTCACGTATATGGGTATACGTGTGTAATAAGCGTGTACCTGTTGTACACACGCGTTGCGCAATGCACGGGCGCGCTCGACGATTGGCCGATCGCTTTGCGCTCAAAGCGCCCATGTATGCACACTCATATATAGGTATATACCCTGAGAACTGCATTCCACCTCCTCCCTTGACCGGTCCCTCTTTACGTTAGGTGTGTACCTTATGCCTATAACATTGCAGCTGCCCGCCGATTCGATCTCCCGGCTATATCGGCATGTGTTGCGGTTCGGTATACGCGCTTGAGTGCATACGCGTACATGCTCGCGTATATGGGCAATGATTCTGTATCGCGTGCATGGGCTTATGTACGTACGTATATATACCAAGGCGGCTTCTTTATGTATCCTATGGGTATACATATATATATAATCAGAATAATCTTGAATAAAAAGTTCAATGATATTATATTATAAATTACAACTCCCGGTAAGTATCAGATCCCATCCATNTATATATATATATATACTCCCTCTCGTCTCGATCTCGCATCGCATGATAGGATACGGGTGCATCAGGTGGTACTGGTGGATTACATGCCTTTCGAGGAGTGCGTGATTTTTGAGCTCTCATTGGCAAAGTGCCGATCCCTCATTTGTGCAAGTATAATATAGTTACTGTATATATACGTATGAATGCATGTTTGTAGTTTCGTGATTGAGAGATCGGTGCAGAGCTTTGCTAGATTGAACGTTGGACTTTCCACGAATAATCGATAATTTTTTATTTCCATCCCTAAGTAATTATAGTAACAGTGTTTAATGTTTTTTTGTTGTTGTTGTTGTTTTACGTGGGTTGTTTTCAATTAGTGTACTTGAATGTGACCATTACACAAGAAATAATAATTTAGGCACGTATAGTTTTGAAATTACAATTTTGCGTCGGTATAGAAGTATTTCACATCAAAGGTCATCATCTGCCTGCAGCTGACATGTGGTTGCTTATTTTAGCTTACGTGTAAGTGCTTCGTAAATCAATCAATTTTTTTTCTTCCTTTTTGTACTTGACAAACAATATACACACCGTACACGAATCCAACTTGAGCCGCAGGCCGAATTTTTCGATTATCTCGCACAATAGTGCTTTAATTAGCTAATTATTAAATCACGGTGACCCTAATAGTGTTTTCTCAAGTCTGTATTTACGAGTGGGCGATCAAAAAAAAAAAAAAAAAAAAAAAAAATACAACGTAGCGTGAAGATTGTCGGACAAATCAGCTGAAACGGACGGTAGCCCGCATCCATATACGGCTAATGACGCGTGACGAAATTGTTTTTTCTTGGTCAAGAATAAAATCGGCGTATTTGGCAGGCTTAGCAACTTCGAATGGCGACGTGTTTGCATTGAGGTTTTTTTTTCTTTTTGGCCCATGACAAAAATAGCGGACCGTAGAATCAACGCGAATAATTGGACCTTCGAGATAAGTACCGAACGAAAGTCACGAATGTTCCTCCACTCCACGCTGAGCATTGAACGCTTCTGACCAGGAGTATACAACACAAACACCAGATCTGAGGGACGGAAGGTCCCAAAGTGAATTTTTTCGCACCGGGCAAGGTCTCGTAATTGCAAAAACCCGCTTCTGAACTGCCGCTGGGGTCCAACGTAGCATATTGTTCCCTCGAACTCTTTGGCCGGGGGAAAACAAAAAAAAAAAAAAAAAAAAAAAAAAAAAAAAAAAAAAATGGTAGGGCGAGAAAAGGGCCGCCTAATTGGCTTCCTCGCCGCGCCTATATGCAACATCTCTCGCGTACTACTCCCTCTTTTGCTGATGCGACCCGAGTGACTTTTTACGCGAACACATATAGATTAATCATCCTCGTAAAAATCGAAGGATATAGCGAGAGAGGAAGGCGCGAGGATGATGGATTCACGGGAGCGATGCCCGCGTCTATATGTATACGTGCGAGGGATTTTCATATACGGAGGCACAAAATTCACGGGGAGGAGGAGAAGAAGGGACGGCAAATAATTTTTCATTCGGTCTCTTTTTTTTCACTCTCGCTCGCGTTTTCGCCGATATTGCTACTACTATGGTTATAGTCCCTCTCATGTGGCTGCTGACGACGCATAAATCATTAAATCAGGGCGGTTGCCGTGTGTTACATCCACGCAGAGAACGGAGGGAGCACGTGCATAAAAACTTAATTACCTTCATTAAGCGAAGTCGGCTTCTTCTTCTTCTTCTTTGTCTTGGTCCGCTGTGATAATAGCTTCACCAGATCGGATCGCTCGGTAAAAGGGATGAAAATTTTGCATTGTCTCTATATATTATGATACGTACAGGTGTATGGGCCACTTTACGAAAATAAATTTCTCTGGTCACGGTCATTTGAAATAATGAATTTATTGTTTTACATCGAAAAATTATAACAAGTACAGCGTTTTGTTTCCCGAAGAAATGTGGGAAGACGTAACAAGTTTTCGTGTCACGTCAAAACCACTCTTCCGTTGAAATTTATGCAAATACTACTGTTTATTTGTCTACGGTTTCAAGTAGTTTTTACAAAGCATTAAATTTTACTGACAATGAATTAACATTGTATACATAACTAAGTCATTTTTTGAGCAGACGTATTTTTTTTTCAAGAAAAACGTAATAAAAAACAAATTAAATAATAATTCACAGCCATGGCCGCCAATAGATTGTTGGTGCATTGGCGCTTGAGTCGCTATTATTTTTTGGCTCCGAGTGACAATTTTCGCCAGTATCATCGTGAGAATTATCTTTCGAAATAGTGATCTCTGTCGTCTGCTCGTGTCCGGGGGCGTGTACATCCAAATGATCTTTTTGAGCCAATGATTTGTCGCAATCTTTACACTCGTACGGTGGCTTTAAAGTTACGTCTTCATTTTGAGTGTATTTTTGTGTCGGTTCGTCCACACTTGGATGTAAATTATGTTCATCTAAGTGTTCCTTTTGATCAAAAGATTTGTTGCTAATTTCACATTTGTACGTGATTGGTGGCTCAACGGTATGAACACCCGTATGTCTATTGAGAACATCTTTTCGAGTAAAAGCTTTGTTGCATTGTGTACACTGATACGATTTTTCGCCGATATGGATGCTACAAATATGATTTTTAAGAACGTGCTTGTATGCAAAGGTGTTACCGCAATCGTGACATTCGAATGATCGTTTGTCAGTATGCATGACAGCGTGTACTTTCAGAGTTGACTTGTGAGTAAAAAATTTGCGGCAAATTTTACATTGATACCGCTTTTTGTCGGCCCGCTTGCCATAACTCATATTTATTTCACTTTTAAGGATTATATGCACGAATTTCTTCTTCGTATGTGGAAGTAAAATAGTCGCTGTCTTTCAGTTTTCGATCCAAAGCCTGAAAGTTAAAATTTTATTTTGTAAATTTCATATGTACAACAATAAGACAGAAATTATTCACTAGCACATGTTTTTTCAAATACTTTAATTATAATTTAGGCAAAAAATCTTTTTTTTCAATGAATAAACATAAGTAGTATTACAATGTCAATTTATCACGCAACATTGATGGAAATTAATGTCCCGACGTTTTTAAATGTATCAATACCAATATGTTTATTGAGACAATCTTTTCGCATTTTTTGGATGCTAATTCTATGGAACGATTCAAAGAATGTTATTTATTTGAAAACTTGTGAAAATTTCTTAAATGTACTTATGAATTTTCTTGTATTAACAGGTGTCCTGTACTAGCTGGTCAAGAAAAATTATGTTAAAAAACTCACCTCTATGTATTCGTTTGAAAATCAATCAAAACACGTGGACTTTTACTGTTTTTTTTTTAAGTAAAACTGAGCAATTGATAAATATACTCAATGTGCAAAATAACTTGTATCATTGAGAATTAATTCACTGCATCTTAAATGTTTCGAATTGAAGTTTGTTTGATAGTAAAAATTCCTTCCACTTTTACTCGCAAGATTAGAGAACCAAACAGTTAATATGTGTCGTTAATTTTCTTCTCGAGCAGGAAATATCGTTAGAGACCCGAATAGGGCACAATCCACCGTAAAACTAAGGACGGAAATGCACACGAAAATGATCTTTATGCGCAACTGTGCAGTATCTGATAAACTACTGCTGATCGTGTATACTTTGCACTTCTCACTGAACATAATATTCCACTTTGCCTTTCATGGTAACTTGAAACTAACAAATTTATCATAGAAAAGTGAAAATTCCGAATTGAATATACTTTAGAACTCCTTAGTTATCGACTTCGTAAAACTGAAATCATTTTTTTCCGAGTACGATTTATCGTAGATGACCATAATTAATGAAAAGTGAAAATTTCTAAATGACACATACCGATAATAGTTTAGGTATGTATCTATGTATAATTTTTCGGAATTTCAACCTTTCTAAAGATAGTCATTTATGAACCAATCGTATACTGGAAATTAAATGATTTGAGTTTTATGAAATCGTCAACTCACGATTTCTAAATGATGTTCAATTCGGAGTTCAAAAATTTCTTACAAAAGACACTGATCCTAATCGTAATTACGATTTATTTTGAACACTGAAAAAGACATCAGTTATCGTCAAAAAGGGAAAACAATAGAAAAACAAGATCGAAAACCAAAGGTCTGTCATTTTTCAGCAAAATCACACGAACATTGAAACATGTAAAATAACCAAAAATAGGTAAAAATACAAGGGCTGAATATGTATGGGATAAAACTTATACTAGGAGCAGTGATTATTCATAATAACTAAGTTTAATACTGTACATTTAATGTACTTAATAACAATAGAGGTTTTAGGGCGGGCCATATTTTTCCCCACACATAATTGCCAAACCTACATACCCACTCAAAAGCTCATTCACCAAACCCCACGAACGCTTAGGATTCTTTTTACTCCGCTGATCACCACTCTCATTCACGTGTATTGTCCCCATTTCGAAGACGTTGCAAAATACTTTCTCGACCCCGGCCCGAGCGATCATTCGAACATTATCCCAGTGCACCGCAAAAACGAGCTCTGAAAAAGCTCGAAACACGTTCATTAGCTGCTCGCTCGACCGAACATTCACGGCACCCCCTCCCCCCTCGATGATGATCGAATACCGCGCCGATACACATATAATACTCGCCGCGGCTGAATACCCGGCAATCAGTACGGCAATTATAAACGTTATCATTGCGCCGCCGCGCACCCGAAGAGCGAGTCCCAAGTGATGCTTTTAACGGGCGTTTGCCTCGCGGCGATTTGTTGTTGAAACGAGCAGCTGCGCGTACACATGTGTACCGTAAAGGGTACAATGTACGTACCTTGCATACGTATAGTAATGTACTCTCTTTTGTTCGCGCGGGCATCGCTGTACATGGATTGACTTTTGATGCGCCCGAGCCGATCTTTTGTGCCCGGCTCTCAAAGGACCGATACGATTTATTTGTTTTTTCTTTTCTTTTTGCCTTCGTTAAAAAAAAAAGTCCCTGATATCTCAGCCATATATATACACGTGGGACCTTTGCAGTTTTTCGGGGAACACCGAGACCAGCTTTCGGTGGATCGAATCGCGGATTCGCGCCGCTTACCCTAAATAATGTCCCTCTGCCGAAAAGCCACAATATAATAACCCGCGGTCCCTCTCTCATCAGTCCGCGTCAGTACAAGGATGTAAATGCCAAGGCGAGAGACGTGCCGCCGCAGTCGCTTGCGCGGGGGGAGGGGGTGCCAAACCTCCGCGGAAGTCGAATAACACGCCGCGCCGGAGAGAGAGAGTCATTAGGGGATTACTGTATACAGCTTGCTCTTCGTTGTATGGATCTCCCGCGCCGCCAAACGCACACTCGTATATACCCTTTGATGTAACCATCCGAGGGAATTGAATAACTGCGCAGGACGCTGTATAATGTTGTATGTATAAGCAACGGTCTTTAAGTGCCCGCAGCTGCTCATCCTCGGTAGAGTCTTAATTTTACGATTCGATTGCGGGGTGTTGGTTATGAAAAATGATAAATGTATGTCGTTGAACAATATAACGCCCGTATGTGCATCAACTTGCGGGAAACGCGCTTTTTCAGCCAGCACTGCCAGGAATCCAAATTTAGTGGTGTCCCTCGCTTTACACGGGGCGTAAAAACGCGATAGGCACACGCGCGCGCGAGTCTTGTGCTTTTGGCATATTGACGGTGCATAATATATACTATATTGGATGTACACGGCGATCTGGAGGAGCTGCGCTGGCTGGATAGCGGCCAAAAAAAAAAAAAAAAAAAAAAAGAGGAACGTAAGCTCGAAACCTCGATTTCACACGTGGGATGTTGTTGGTTGTGTGTACGTTGAAATAATCTCTGATTGAATGTGGAAGCATCTGTTTCAATGCTACACACGTCTAAATTTCATCTCCATTGACGATCGCTTGCATCATTTCATCCGTAAAAATTTTTATTTATTTATTAACTAATTTAAATCGTGTAGGTATATAACTTGCCTAAACCTCATTAAAACATTTTTTTTCCCTCATCAGAGCATATTTACTCCATGCTGCAAATCCAAGTGTGCTAAAGTATACGTTTAAAGTGCGTGCAGTTGAAATTTTTGTTTCTTATAAAATACATCGTAGTGGCGTGGATTATAATTTTAAGGATAACCAAAGCTATGGTGTACCAAGTGGTTAACAAGTGTAAAACCAATGACAGAAATGTTTTACTAATAGGTAAAACAGTTAACGAATCATCAATTTGGAATACCAAGACCACCATATATAGTGTATTTTATAAAAAAAAAATAAAGCAATTTCGACCACACGCCTAAAAACGTGTACTTTAACACTCTTGGATTTTGCAGTGTATATTCAAGGTGAAAATACATTTTTGAGAGATTCTGATCTACGTACACATACCGATCTCCGAGCATCCCTACATAGTTCTTCCTGGCCGTCGGCGTTTCACTCTCGAGTTACCGACTTTTTTAAATCCATTCTCGAGGAGATTTCTCGCCCGATCGCGACTCAATCCGAGCGTTATATTTACACGCCTCGTTTCTCTCTCCTTCCTCCCTCGTATGTAAAGTTTTTCGGGGATCGTGACCTCAACAGTGATTTCGTGGCCTACCCGTTTTTAGACGGTCACTCCAAAAAAGTGACTAATCGTACACGCGTATGGGATATTCTTTAGAGGAGAAACTAAAAAAAAAAAAAAAAAAAAGACGTCTCTGTTACCGATTTTTCTTATCTGCGTCGCATCTTATGTGCGTTGTCGTTCAACTTTCACTGCAACGTAAGTATCAGCGAAAAGCCGTAAGGGTTTAAACGTACACCGGCTATAAAAAGGGCAAAAAGGTAACGAGGCTAACAATTAATTCAATCAAGCGAATTCCAGGAAGGTAAATAAGCCACCCAGTCATATATGCACGTAGAGCCGAATAAGCTGTACAAATTGCGTTAGTCTATCGGCTTGACGCGCAGAGCGAGCTCGAAGCCAGGGCGCGACCACCCCTCCTCGCGCAACGCTAACGTTTTCATTTATTCCGGCTCGGTGAGGGAGCCTCTATACCCACAGCGCAGAGAAGCTCTCCGTGTTTTTCCAGCGGAATGTGTGTGCCCGATCGGAGGAAGCCCCGCGAATCGGATTTCTTTTTTTTTTTTTTTTTTTTCTCGTAATACCCAAGCAGCAGGCGACCGTCCCTCTTTCAAATCCATCGATTATACTCAGGGGGGGTCTTTTGTCGACTTCTCGACGCCCCCGCCGTTAACTACACGCAACGGGTGAACGTATCACCGATTCGATGACATTGGACTTCTCGGCCGGAGAATGAACGAGGATTCAATCATCCGATCCGATCGACCGCCCGTGATGACGTTTGTTTTCCATTAGCATTTGTGCATGTATCGCACATACACCTATACATACTCCCGTTGTTCTTTCGCAAATGAAGGGAAATGAAATTCATTCGAAGCTAAATAACTCGCCTCGATGTGGCAACCAAGTCGCGCGTCCGCACTTATTGTTACGCGCCCATCACGTATAAATGATAAAAGTGCAATCACTCCGGCGGACGTACACGTACTGTAGATTATTCACCTGCGAGCTTTGAAATTTAGCGCGTGGCAAATGAAAATTGCTCGTTTGATTGGATCGTTTACATATATATACATACAACTCTCTCTTGCCGAATGCACATCCCTCGATCGCTGCTGTATAGAAGCTTTCCCCCCTGCTCTGTCTTAATCCATTTCTTTTTTTTTTTTTTTTAATCCTTAAAGCACGCGGCAGCAAAGGAGTTGGAGAAATTCT